CCCAGGGGCCCTCCGGGTGGTCGTGAGGTTTCTTCCAGGGGCTCATGGAGTCGTCGTCGTGCGGCTGACTCTGCAGCTCTTCCAGTCTTTAGATGCAGGGAGAACCAGGGAGGCCGGGCGCGGCGGCTCACGCCCGTCACCCCAGCACTTAGGGAGGCCGAGGCCGGAGGATCGCTTTGTTCCAGGAGTTCGAGACCAGCCTGGGCAACATAGCAAGACCCTGTCTCTTAAAAAAAAAAACACCAAAAGAAAACACAATGCCAGGCGCGGTGGCTCATGCCTGTAGTCCCAACAGTTTGGGAGGCGGAGGAGAGAGGATTGCCTGAGCCCGCGGGTTCGAGACCAGCCTGGGCAACCTGGTGAGATCTCGTCTCTACAATAAATAAAAAAATCAGCCGGGCGTGGTGGCGCGCGCCTGTGGTTCCAGCTACTTGGGAGGCTGAGGCGAGAGGACCGCCTGAGCCCAGCAGGTCGAGGTTGCAGTGGCCGTGAGCGGGGCACTGCCCTCCAGCTAGGGCGACAGAGCGAGACTCTGACTCAAAAAACAAATAAATAAAAGCAAAATACAATAATCTGTCATATGAATTAGTTTACTGTCGTGAAAATAATCACCAAGATATCCTTATGGCAGTGACCAGCTAAAACCTGGCAAGGCAGCTGGACTTAGCAGCAGACACCTGTATTCCCAGCACTTTGGTAGGCCAAGGCAGAGGGGTCACTGGAGCCCAGGAATTTGAGACCAATCTGGGCAACATAGATTGACGTTGTCTCTACCAAAAAAAAAAATAATAATAATAATCAGTCGGGTGTGGTGGTGTGCGCCTGTGGTTCCAGAACTTGAGAAGCTGAGGCGAGAGGATCGCTGGAGCCCAGCAGGTCGAGGCTGCGTTGGCCGTGAGCGTGCCGCTGCCCTCCAGCCTGGGCGACAGAATGAGACGCCAATTCAAAAAAAAAACCCCACAAAAAACGAGTTGCTTTTTAGAAAGCAGGAAAAAAAAAGACTGAGGGAAATCGAAGGTCACCCTTAGGCAAATGTCTCGTCATTGTTGCAGCTGAGATTGTCCCTCCATGTTCAAAGTTACTGGGGAAAATAGGTCGAGAGGCAGGATCGAGTCCCGTCTTGCGGTCGTGTGACCATGGCTCGCCGCAGCCTTGACCTGCTGGGCTCAGGCGACCCTCCCCTATAGCTGGGACTACGGGGGGCGGTGAGTCTCACTGTGTTGCCCAGGCTGGTCTCGAACCACTGGCCTGAGTGATCCTCCTGCTTTGGTTTCCCTAAGCATTGTGGTGACAGACGTGAGTCACCCCACCTGACCCAGGTTCAAATAAGATCTACATAATTAGTTAATCATCTAGTAAGATCTGGATATTAGTTTAATAGGATTATGTGGAGAATTTCCTGGCTTCGGTAACCTGGCGTGTCTTACGGTGATGCCTGGTGTTAACGTTAGGAGATGCAGGATGAAGGTTATTAGGGAAGTCTACAAGTTTCTGAGATCCTCCAATTATTTCAAAATTAAAAAGGGTGATAAGCCGGGCTTGGTGGCTCAGCCTGTCATCCCGCGCCTTTGGGAGGCTGAGGTGAGTGGATTGCCTGAGCCTGTGG